CTGTCGTCCAGGCCTAAGCCTTAGCCCCAAACGAGCCTAGACACCAGGAGACATTCAACGCCTACAGAAAAGTCGCTGGCTGGGAGGGTTTGGGGGTTTTAGGATGGCTTGGAAGTTGGTAGGAATGTCACTGATGTCCAACACCATTGTCCCAGCTATTTGGGCTAACACATTTTCTGCCTCCCACCACTGACTCCAGCACCCGTGAGCCATGGCTGCTTTCGTTCCGACCGCAACAAACCCTGCGTCTGCCCCGTCCTCAGCAGCGCTGCGGGGCACCGTGCCGCCGCAGGCACCCCCTCGCGACTCCAGCATGGGCGTGTCCCTGGCAGCAGTGGGCGTTGCAGCCTTGGCCGGTGCAATTGGTGGCGCCGCCAGCAAGCAGCGGCGGTCCCGCCGCACGGTGCAGAAGGCGGCCACCTCCTATAGGGACTTCCAGGACCCGTGGCTGGGCGCTGCCAGCCTCGGCTTCGACCCTCTGAACCTCGCTTGCGGGGGCGGGATCTTCGACAAGGCCGCCACGGCAGTGCCGGAGACCACCTACTACAACTACCGGGAATCTGAGGTCAAGCACGGCCGATTCGCAATGACTGCTTTCCTGGCCATCTTCTTTGACTCGGCCGACCGTGGGGCAGTCTTCCGCCAGCTCGGCTCCTTTACCGCCGTGGACAATCTGGATGGCTCCCTCGGTTTGGACGAGCTGCAGGGTCCGGTCATCGCGCTTGCGCTTGGCTACCAGGCGCTGGCAGAGTACAACCTGCAGAAGAGTGAGAAGGACGGCAACTTCCTCAGCGTCGAGTACAAGAAGGAGCGGTGCCCTGGCGACCTCGGTTTCGACCCTCTGAAACTCGGCAGCTCAAAAGGCGCCGACAAGAAGGGCCTGCACAACATTGAGGTGAACACAGGGCGCTTGGCAATGATCGGTATCACTAGCTTCTTGTGGAAGGAGTTCCTGTTCAAGGATGAGGGCATTGCGGCGAAGCTTCTGTCCGACTCCAACATCTAGTGATGCAGTGGATGCAGTGTGGGATGCAATTTTCATGCTTCAGCCCTGTACCACAAGTGTCAAAGGGCCTTGTCAAAGGGTTTTCATGAGCTTGTGATTTTCCTCGTTGTTGGCGGTGCAGGGTTGTATAGAAGATGGCTGCTCGTCCAGGCCTAAGCCTTAGCCCCAAACGAGCCTAGACACCAGGAGACATTCAACGCCTACAGAAAAGTCGCTGGCTGGGAGGGTTTGGGGGTTTTAGGATGGCTTGGAAGTTGGTAGGAATGTCACTGATGTCCAACACCATCGCCCCAGCTATTTGGGCTAACACATTTTCTGCCTCCCACCACTGACTCCAGCACCCGTGAGCCATGGCTGCTTTCGTTCCGACCGCAACAAACCCTGCGTCTGCCCCGTCCTCAGCAGCGCTGCGGGGCACCGTGCCGCCGCAGGCACCCCCTCGCGACTCCAGCATGGGCGTGTCCCTGGCAGCAGTGGGCGTTGCAGCCTTGGCCGGTGCAATTGGTGGCGCCGGTGTCGCCAGCAAGCAGCGGCGGTCCCGCCGCACGGTGCAGAAGGCGGCCACCTCCTATAGGGACTTCCAGGACCCATGGCTGGGCGCTGCCAGCCTCGGCTTCGACCCTCTGAACCTCGCTTGCGGGGGCGGGATCTTCGACAAGGCCGCCACGGCAGTGCCGGAGACCACCTACTACAACTACCGGGAATCTGAGGTCAAGCACGGCCGGTTCGCAATGACTGCTTTCCTGGCCATCTTCTTTGACTCGGCCGACCGTGGGGCAGTCTTCCGCCAGCTCGGCTCCTTTACCGCCGTGGACAATCTGGATGGCTCCCTCGGTTTGGACGAGCTGCAGGGTCCGGTCATCGCGCTTGCGCTTGGCTACCAGGCGCTGGCAGAGTACAACCTGCAGAAGAGTGAGAAGGACGGCAACTTCCTCAGCGTCGAGTACAAGAAGGAGCGGTGCCCTGGCGACCTCGGTTTCGACCCTCTGAAGCTCGGCAGCTCAAAAGGCGCCGACAAGAAGGGCCTGCACAACATTGAGGTGAACACAGGGCGCTTGGCAATGATCGGTATCACTAGCTTCTTGTGGAAGGAGTTCCTGTTCAAGGATGAGGGCATTGCGGCGAAGCTTCTGTCCGACTCCAACATCTAATGATGCAGTGGACGCAGTGGGGGATGCAATTTTCATGCTTCAGCCCTGTACCACAAGTGTCAAAGGGCCTTGTCAAAGGGTTTTCATGAGCTTGTGATTTTCCTCGTTGTTGGCGGTGCAGGGTTGTATAGAAGATGGCTGTCGTCCAGGCCTAAGCCTTAGCCCCAAACGAGCCTAGACACCAGGAGACATTCAACGCCTACAGAAAAGTCGCTGGCTGGGAGGGTTTGGGGGTTTAGGATGGCTTGGAAGTTGGTAGGAATGTCACTGATGTCCAATACCATTGTCCCAGCTATTTGGGCTAACACATTTTCTGCCTCCCACCACTGACTCCAGCACCCGTGAGCCATGGCTGCTTTCGTTCCGACCGCAACAAACCCTGCGTCTGCCCCGTCCTCAGCAGCGCTGCGGGGCACCGTGCCGCCGCAGGCACCCCCTCGCGACTCCAGCATGGGCGTGTCCCTGGCAGCAGTGGGCGTTGCAGCCTTGGCCGGTGCAATTGGTGGCGCCGCCAGCAAGCAGCGGCGGTCCCGCCGCACGGTGCAGAAGGCGGCCACCTCCTATAGGGACTTCCAGGACCCGTGGCTGGGCGCTGCCAGCCTCGGCTTCGACCCTCTGAACCTCGCTTGCGGGGGCGGGATCTTCGACAAGGCCGCCACGGCAGTGCCGGAGACCACCTACTACAACTACCGGGAATCTGAGGTCAAGCACGGCCGGTTCGCAATGACTGCTTTCCTGGCCATCTTCTTTGACTCGGCCGACCGTGGGGCAGTCTTCCGCCAGCTCGGCTCCTTTACCGCCGTGGACAATCTGGATGGCTCCCTCGGTTTGGACGAGCTGCAGGGTCCGGTCATCGCGCTTGCGCTTGGCTACCAGGCGCTGGCAGAGTACAACCTGCAGAAGAGTGAGAAGGACGGCAACTTCCTCAGCGTCGAGTACAAGAAGGAGCGGTGCCCTGGCGACCTCGGTTTCGACCCTCTGAAGCTCGGCAGCTCAAAAGGCGCCGACAAGAAGGGCCTGCACAACATTGAGGTGAACACAGGGCGCTTGGCAATGATCGGTATCACTAGCTTCTTGTGGAAGGAGTTCCTGTTCAAGGATGAGGGCATTGCGGCGAAGCTTCTGTCCGACTCCAACATCTAATGATGCAGTGGACGCAGTGGGGGATGCAATTTTCATGCTTCAGCCCTGTACCACAAGTGTCAAAGGGCCTTGTCAAAGGGTTTTCATGAGCTTGTGATTTTCCTCGTTGTTGGCGGTGCAGGGTTGTATAGAAGATGGCTGTCGTCCAGGCCTAAGCCTTAGCCCCAAACGAGCCTAGACACCAGGAGACATTCAACGCCTAGAGAAAAGTCGCTGGCTGGGAGGGTTTGGGGGTTTTAGGATGGCTTGGAAGTTGGTAGGAATGTCACTGATGTCCAACACCATTGTCCCAGCTACTCCCACAACTGCCTCCAGCACCTGTGAGCGCCCAGTCCTCAGCAGCGCTGGCGGGCATCGTACCGCTGCAGGCGCCCCTTGCGACTCCAGAATGAGCGTGTCCCTGGCAGCAGTGGGCGTTGCAGCCTTGGCCGGTGCAATTGGCTGCGTCGCCAGCAAGCAGCGGCGGTCCCGTCGAAGCGAACCCTGGCGAATTGCGATGCACCTCTCAGCGCCCAAAGTCCATGGTTGTGCCGATGCCGCACATCGCACATGGATAAGTGAGGTCTTGAGAGCTCCCGAATGCACCCAAAATGTAGGCTCGTGTGGGCCGCTGGTTTGTCAGTGAGTCAATGGGGACCAGGCCAGCTGTTCCTCTTCATGTGTAGGACCTGTAGGATGCGCAAAGGATTCATGTTGAGGTCAGCAAGGATGCTCAAATGCCCATAGATGAAGATCAAGTCTGGAGCTTCCAAAGGGGCTTTCATCCAAGAAGGTGAAGAATTGTGAGGCGGCTCTCCTGACAGGATCGATATCCCTCGACCCTAACCCTAAACCCTATAAACCCTATAAACCCGAAACCCTAAACCCTAAACCCTAAACCCTAGACTCTCAGCAACCCTAGAGCATCAGCAAAGCCAGTGAGCTGGTCGTACAGTGGCAGCACCATGCGCGATGCGCGTCATCTGCGGGTGTTGCTCCGCCGGCATGACGAGGCTTCCTGTACTCTTCCCTGGATGACAGATGTATCTTGACAATATTATATGCCCATGTCAAGAATATTACAATATCAAATGTAATACGATAAGAGTATGACAGAACACTCCAAGACCCTAATGACATACTTCTTTTTGAGAATGTATATATATATATATACACACATATACATAGACATAGACATAGACATAGACATAGACATAGACATAGACATAGACATAGACATAGACATAGACATAGACATATATACATATATATGTGGATATATATATATATATATATATATATATATGTATATGTATATGTATATGTATATGTATATGTATATGTATATGTATATGTATATGTATATGTATATGTATATGTATATGTATATGTATATACGCATATATCTATCGTGTTGCTCTGAACCAGGCAGATGCTTGCCGCGAGCCTCAAGGCACGAGCTCTGTGAAACGGCTTTGGTGTTGTGGTGCTTGTAGGACCTTGTTTTCTCCAAACCCTTCAAACCCCCCCAAACCCCCCCAAACCCCCCCAAACCCCCCCAAACCCCCCCAAACCCCCCCCAACCCCCCAAACCCACCCAAACCCACCCAAAACCCCCCAAAACCCCCCCCAAACCCCCCCAACCCCTAAACCCTTAAACCCCTCAACCCTAAACCCTCAACACTTAAAGCCTGATGAACCCTTAAAAGATCTCGAGGCGCATGGCAGCCACTGTAGCAGAAGCTGCAGAAGCCGGGACTGTCCTCCGGGGGGTCCATGTACTTGAAGGTTCATGGTACTTATTTACCAATTAGAATATGGTACTTATTTAGATTATGGTTATAATTATAAGTACAGTTATAAGTACAGTCATACAGTTATAAGTACAGTAATAAGTACAGGTATAAGTACAGTTAGAAGTACAGTTGTAATTGGTTAGCAAGTACCTCCAAGTAGGGTCCAGCGAGCTGCTTGCAGGTCTTTGTGTTCGAGGGATGTTTTGGGAGATTTGAGGGTTTTTGCTTTGTTTTCTACTTTCTTGTTGGGGGGTGGGGGCCGCCTGTGTTCTTAGGGGTTTGAGCGTTATACTTTGTGTGTGTGTGTGTGTGTGTGTGTGTGTGTGTGTGTTTGTTTTTTTTTTTTGGGGGGGGGGGGGGGGGGGGGGGGCGGGTCGGTTGGGGGGTTTGAGTGTTTGAGTGTTTGAGTGTTCTTTTTGGCGCGTTTGAGAGTCTGGGCTTTGGGGTTTGAGGGCTTTGGGTGTGATGCGGGTCGCAGAAGCAGCTTGGGGCGGGAGAGAACCAGTGGGGCTTGCGGTCGTCTGATCGTCAGGTGCATCGTACAGTGGAACATTTATCACATGGTCGTAGACTACTATAGTACATGTAGTATACAAATATATGTGCATTACAGCAGTCGGCCATGTAGACATCCTTTTGAGCTTTTGAGCTTCTCACCTCCCGTCAAGCTTGCGTGGTGCGATGGGCTGGCCCCGCTAGCTTCGAAGTGTGCCGGCGATGAGGAGGTGGCTGCCAGCTGTTGCGTTCTACTACGCGGAGCATCCCTGTACGGCTTTCAAGGACCTGTGGCAGGGCCTCTTGGTAGGCATCGTATTTTGGCCCCTGGCTGTGGGCAATGCGGCCCTGGCCAAAGTCCCACCATCGGTGAGTATCAACACGAGCCTCTTCTCGCCGCTGGTCTATCTGCTCTTGGGAAGCATTCCCTTGCTGTCGGTCCAGTCCGGCTCGACGGCGGCCCTGTGCTTGGGTGAGCTTCTTGCCAAGTCATCAGTTCAAGAGGGAACCGAAGCCGAGATCGCAACGCTGCTGGCGGTCCTTGTGGGCGCCATGCACTTCATCATGGGCCTCCTTGACTTGGGGGCAGCTGTGGAGCTCTTCTCGCAGCCTTTGCTTCGTGCCCGCACGGGAGCAGCAGCTCTCGTGGTCCTCGCAGGTCAGATCGAAACGCTTCTGGGGCTCTCAGCCGAGCGAGAGCCGGGTACACCCATCCAGCGATTCTGGGCTGCGTGCTCCTCTGTGCCGGAGCTGTCCCCACACACCAGCCTCCTGTCCTTGATCTTGCTAGCTGTCCTCCTGGCCTGCAAGATACTGGGAAGACGGGGATCACAGCTGGGAGGCACGGAGAAAAGTCTTGCTCGGAGGGTTTGTGCAGCTGCTTCGGGTGTACTTCAGACCTCCAGCAACTTGCTCATACTCGTGGCTGCAGCTGCCGCGCACATGTACTTGCGAGGCTTGAGTCGCGTGGAGGTCTTGGAGCGATTCGAGACCCCTGCTCCACAGTGGATCTTTTCAAATTGGACTCTCCAGCAGTTTCTGGATGCCCTGCCCACCGCCGCACTCACAGCTTTCCTGACGCTGGGCAGTCATCTGACGGTGGTCGAACGGGTTCGGCGACCGAGCGATTCTTGGAATCCGCGCCGGGAGCTCCTGTCGCTGGGCTCGGCAAGTGTGCTGGCTGCTGTAGTCGGAGGGATGCCAGTAATGGCAAATCTCGCCGTTTGCCAGGCGTTGCAGGGTGCAACAGGCGGGCTTGCTACCTTTGGCAATATCCTGGGACACCTGGTTGCCTTTGTGACGGTTTCAAAGCTACCAAGCTTTCAAGTTCCCCGTTGTGCCGTATCTGTTATCCTCGTGGTGGAATTTGCTCCGCTGCTGCGGAGCCTGCCGTCCGAGATCTACCACCTTTGGCAACAGGCATGCCTAACCTCTTCGAACAGTATTTTGCGAATGATTGTGGCCAGCGATCTGAGTATTTACTTGATTGCGTTCTTGTCACCGCTGGCCTTTGGCATCGTGAACGGCTCGCTGATTGCAGTCTGCATGCAAGTTGCGGTGTCTCTGTCCCGGTTTGCAGGCCCTGGATATGTGCACATTGGCCGTGTGCCTGGAACGACCATGTACGATGAGATAGGGGTGCCAGGCTCATCAGCAGTTCCACTTGACAAGATCGTGATAACTCGCGTCCTCGGTCCTCGCTGGTTCGGGAATGCGGCGGCGAATACCAGGGCTGCGAGACGGGAACGGCGCAATCTGGACCGTGAGATCCTTGTCGCCATTGCGGACTGGCGAATGGTTTCTTTTCTGGATGAGACTGCGCTGATGCATTACAAGCGCGAGTGGTCGAATCTCGACGTGAAAGTCCTGGTAACCAACACCTGTGCAAATGTGCGCCGCCAGATTAAGGAGTGTGGGCTCGGCGATGTCTTGCAACAGCCAGAGGAAACCCTTGTGGACTTGCATGCTGCTGTGCTATGGGCACAGGACTACATCAGAACAATCGAATCCAGTCGGGTTGTCATTGGTGTAGGTGCAAACCGCAGGTGTTCTGCCGAAGCAGATTAGTCAGCTCACGTCAGCTCACCCTGTACAGTGTACAGCCATGTAGAGCCAGTTGTGCAGACTTTGACGGTTGCTTGGCTGCCTTAAGTTGCCTTTGAGGCCGTGGAACGAAAATGCAACCGCCCTTTGCGAAGCAGCCGGCTTGTCTACCTGAGTAAGCTGCAGGACAGTTTCTTGGAGAGCTCCGATGGGTGCGTGGCGACAGATGCGAGCGCCCGAGCACATGCGTCTTTGAGGTTCTCTTGGCAGATCGAGGTGGGCGGATGCAGTTCAAAAGATCTTCGCAGGGTGTCTGCTGGGTGTCAAGGCGTCACGCCACTTCCGAGGTTGCTTGCGAGCGCGACAAGCACGACGAGTGCGACGGCGAAGGCAAAGCCACGGCTGATAAGCACTGCATGGGGGGAGGGGGAGAGACACAGAGCCCTAAACCCTAAACCCTAAACCCTAAACCCTAAACCCTAAACCCTAAACCCTAAACCCTAAACCCTAAACCCTAAACCCTAAACCCTAAACCCTAAATCCTAAACCCTAAACCCTAAGGCCGGTTTGGTGTTTGGTATGTTTAGGTCTATAACATGTGGGTCCTTTTGGGGCTCCTGTTGTTGTGGTGTGGAGCCTTGATCTGCAAGGTACCCAAACAACGGCAAAAAGGGAGCCCTAAACCCGAAAGAATCCCCAAAACCTCAAACCCTGCACCCAAAAAAATCCCCACCAACCCTGAACCGAACTTTAGGGAGCCTAAACCCTAAAACCTAAACCCCAAACTTTAAACCCTAAACTCTAAACCCTAAACCCTAAACCCCTAAACCCTCCTCCCGGCCCCCGCCCAGACAAACTGAGCCGAGGCAGCAGGAGCAAGCGGTCCGAGGACTCAGCGTGGCCTGCGAGACCCAAACCCCTAAGCCTTTCAACTCTAAACCCCCAAACCCCAAACCCTAAAACCCTCGTCAAAACCCTAAACCCTAAACCCCAAACCCTAAACGTTAAACCTTAAACCCTAAAGAAGCCCGTTGTGCAGGGTTTTGACCGCTTCCGCCCCGTTGGAACTCGAGGTTTCCCTTGCGGGCCCGGGGAGCTTCTCCACAAGGCCCGGCCGCCTGTTGGAGTTGGGGGTTTGGGGTTTGGGGGTTTGGGGTTTGGGGTTTTGGGTTTTAGGGCCTAGGGTTTAGGGTTTAGGGTTTGGGGTTTCGGGTTTAAGGGTTTGGGGTTTAAGGCATGTATCTGTGGAGGCTGATCTAAAGGCCCACCCACCGCCGCCGCCGCCGCCGCCCGTCTCCCCTCCCCCACGACGCGCGCGGGACACGCGCCTGCCGGGGGTACCCTAGACCCTCAACCCTAAACCCTAAGCCCTAAGCCCTAAACCCTAAACCCTTCCAGAAGTACAGGAGTCCGAGTTTCCCACTCTAGGACCTTTGGGGTTCTGCAATCCTGTACAGGGCTCAAGAAGTGCAGGAGAGTCCACAATTTCGAAGAACTTGATTTTGGACTTTCGTACTTATCGGCTTTCGACTTTGGGACTATCACATCAGTAGTTAGTACTGCTACGATCATGTGTTTCGAACTTGTCATCACTACAGTTATGAATTGAGTTTTCCATTTTGTTCCGGGTATAATTTTGTTTTTCAGTGCGATGTTTAGAATTCGCATCCCATCGTCTTTGGTGTTGAGTTTTGGGGTCGTATCTGGCATCAGGGTTTTTCTGTAGCATCTTGTTTCTGGCTGGGTTCGGATGCGGTGAAACATTCGGACTTTGGAGAGTCCCTGGCATCAAGATGATCGACGTTGTTCAGTGGGAGAAAGTGGGCTGACAACCGAAAAAAAACCTGCTGCTCAACCCTAAACCCTAAACCCTAAACCCTAAACCCTAAACCCTAAACCCTAAACCCTAAACCCTAAACCCTAAACCCTAAACCCTAAACCCTAAACCCTAAATCCTCACAACTCGAAATTTCCGAGGCTTCTGAGGCCTTGGAGGGCGACCCTTGTGATGCCTACCGCTCTCGAGCGCCTCCTGGCTTCGAATCATGCGGATCCCCCGTGCTGTGCTCCCTATGTCCACACGTTTATTGCTGTGGGAGTTGACGAAAATCAGGGGACCCCTATATCATAGACCCCCGAAATCGTAGGATTCCCATAGAATGAGGACCCCAGTAAGGTATCCCTAACTTCGGAAACCCTGGTGTCAAGTCCGGCGTTGCTGCGTTCTTGCTGAGGCTTCCAAGAAGCAGCAGGCGCGCCTCCGAACCGTGCCTCCACGCATACCGGAGCTGCCACGTGTTCTGTGGACCCGTGGAACATTATGTTGTAGTAAATAGGTTCTACATATGAGATACTGTGCCTTATTGTCCTATACATTTTTGCTATGTGCACAAAGGGCTCCCATGTTCTGCTTTTGCTGGCCCAGCGTTGATGTTCGTCTCGGCAGATGCGGCGTGCGACGTCCGGCCGTTGCACTCGAGGCCTTCCATTGCTGCTACAGATGTGGTGCGCAGTTTTTAAGGACTTGGTACCGTGAATGTTAGAAACATTCTCCAAGTTGTTAGTATTCAAATCCATATCATTACGAATCCGCAGCACAATCGTGTTGTCTGTTGTTTATTCGTAGTATTATTCGTATGGATCGTATATCAGTATGATCAGCGTCATTGTCAGTGCTGTCGTTACTCTCGATGAGTATGTTTATTAGGATTTGTATGATTCGTGGTACTAGTATTGGTAGTAGTGAGTATTACTATGATTAGCCCAGGTTTTGTTTTATTGAGTGTGATTTGTGACTGTGACACGGGTAAAGCAATCTGGCTTACAGTCATGTTCCTTTGTGCCCACTCCTTGATGGTCCTGGACGCCTGCGCCCTAATCAGTTGCAGCTTCATAATGTGTGTGACGTTGATGCGCCAGCCAACATGTCCTAAACCCTAAACCCTAAACCCTAAACCCTAAACCCTAAACCCTAAACCCTAAACCCTAAACCCTAAACCCTAAACCCTAAACCCTAAACCCTAAACCTAACCCTAAACCCTAAACCCTAAACCCTAAACCCTAAACCCTAAACCCTAAACCCTAAACCCTAAACCCTAAACCAAAAACCTAAACCCCTAAAAACCTGAACCCTGAACCCTGAACCTGAACCCTGAAACCCTGAACCCTGAACCCTGAACCCTGAACCTTGACCCTGAACCCGAACCCTGAACCCTGAACCCTGAACCCTGAACCCTGAACCCTGAACCCTGAACCCTGAACCCTAAACCCTAAACCCTAAACCCTAAACCCCAAACCCCAAACCCCAAAACCTAAACCCGAAACGCTAAACCCTAAACCCTCTCAGTGCAGCTGAGGTCATCCCAGTATGAGTGGAAGACGTTGTCATTGGCTGCTCCTTCTTGCGGCAGCTTGCGCCAGTCCACTTCCGCAGAATGCCGCCGTACAGGCTTGCCGGTTGAGCCCCCTAGGCCTCGACACCCCAGACCCTAAACCCCTAAGCCCCTAAGCCAACCCCAAGTCCTTAAACCCTTACCCCTAAGCTCCCTAAACCCGAAACCCGAAACCCTAAACCCCCTGACCCCTGACCCCTAACCTCTAACCCCGAACCCCTAAACCCTAAACCCTAAACCCTAAACCCTAAACCCTAAACCCCTAAGCCCCCTAGCGCCCTGGGGCAGTGTGAAGGCCGGTAAGTCGTCGGCCCGGCCACGACATGGCAGCAACATGCTTCAGCTGCCGGGGCCTGAAAGCTGCGGTCTTTGGGTTTAGGGTTTGGGGTTTAGGGTTTAGGGTTTAGGGTTTAGGGTTTAGGGTTTAGGGTTTAGGGCCAGGGCGCTAGGGCGCTTAGGGGTTTAGGGTTTTGGGTTTTGGGTTTGGGGTTTGGGGTTTAGTGTCTGGAGTTTAGGGTTGAGGTTGGCTTCCCAAGGTTCGGGGTGCCGTGGGGCTTGTTTGGGGGGGGGGGGGGGGGGGGGGGGGGGGGGGGGGGGGGGGGGGGGGGGGAGGCTTTGGCTTAGTGGGGGGTATTGGGGGAGGGGGGAGGTATTAAAAAACAGTCAAGGCGAACGATCGACACCGATCACGAGCCGACCTTCCGAGAGGCGAGCTTTTCCTCGCGGCTGAGCATGGGGGTTTAGGGCCCCCTTTATACTAACAGTCGTTAATAGGGATTATCTATTAGAACCCCTATTCAGGACTATTAACATAAGGGGGAACATCCCAAGTTTAGGGTTCAGGGTTCAGGGTTTCCAAAACTCGCCAGGACGGTGAGCTCTGGTTCACAACCTCCTCCGGGAAGACGCAAGTACAGATCGAAGTTCCC